TCTCCTGTACCATGAAGGGCTTTAAAGATGATGTCTAACACACTGAATTGGACCCAGAAGCAAATCAGCAACTAGTGCAACTCATGTTACAGTAATGTTACATGCACCATTGAGCAGGCATTGTGAGTCTAAGAGAACCCATAAATTGTACACAGGATCTGTCTAGGGCAGTGCAATTCCATCCAGAACTGAAGATGTTAAATGCCCAGATCCCAAGGCTCGAAGCAGCCATAGCAACATAGTCTTATCAGGGTTCATTTGAAGCCCGTGGTTCCCCCATTCAGACACTGACAGCATCTAAGGAGGGGACAGCGTGTGAATGTGAATGACACAGCAGTGGTGGGTCTTATCCAGGATGAGGGAAATTGAAAAGGAGATATCAATGTCCTTTGCTGATGCTTGGAAACCATCAGAGCAGGATGAGGGAGAACAGAGTGAGATAAAGGCTGCTAAGTCTTCTTTTTCTCTTGTTTACTCTTTATGGTTTTCTACTTCAGTGCTGTTTCTTTATTGTTGTAATTAGTTGGTTATGCCAAGGACATTTTATTTTGTTTTTATATATGGAAAAGGATCTGACAATTGGTAGCACTGACAGCATGAAGGAGTATGTCCATTTCCTCCAGATCCAACAGGATCACCCTGTTCCCAGATCATCGAGCAAGACCTCACCCCAGGCATCTCACATGGACTTGCATCATAGATGGGATCTAACTGGGAATGAATCCAAGTGACTTTGTCCATCAAATATTGAACAAATTCGTCTGCATGGCCCTCTAGATGATCACTAAATATCTCCTGCTCCAGGAGGGACCAAGTGATCTGGAATAGGGCCATTGGGTGACACTGCAGATGCAATAAGAGCTGTTTTTCCACTCTTACCATAATGAGATAGTTCTTAATAGCAGTTCTAAGTTGTGTCCAGTTGGAGTCATCTTCATTATCCTCTAGCAGCACTCTAGGCATCTCTTAACTCTTTTCAAGACCCGTAACTCCTCTTTCTCAATTGATTTTTAACCATTTCTGCTGTTATTAGTACTTCCATTTGTTTTGTTTTTTTATTAAATTTTACTAATTTCATCTTCATATTTAAATTCATCTAGAATTTTTTTTATTACAGTCTTTTTAAGTTTTCTGTTGATCTTTTTAAAACTGGATGGTTTCCTTTTTGGTTGGTTTTCTATTTTCAGAATTTTTATTGCCACTTATACTTTGATAGAATCACCTGGTCTGATTGAAATTGATAATTTGCTTAAATGGATGATTTGTGCCTCATAACATTCCATTTTTCTAACTATTGCTGTTACTTGTTGCTTTATGATTTCCAAAACATCTTAAACTTTTCTGGTGTTAAATCAGAGCACAACAATGATAAAAACTGTCTTGAATGCATTTGGGTCAATATAAAAGGGGCAAAAAATGACATTGCCATAGGTGTATACTACAGACCACCCAACCAAACAGAGGAAATAGATGAACTTTTTGCTAGTCAGCTAACTAAGGTATGTAGGAACCACATCACAATAGTAATGGGGGACTTTAACTACCCTGACATCAACTGGGAGACAAACTCTGCACCAAGTGGAAGATCAAACAGGTTCCTGGCAAACCTAGCAGACAACTTTGTCTCCCAAAAAGTAGAGAAGGGAACTAGGGGATTAGCCATTTTGGATCTAATTCTCACTAACAGAGATGAATGATAGAAGGTGTTAAAGCCATAGGAACCCTAGGAGGAAGTGATCATGCAATATTAGAATTCAACATTATGGAAGCACAAGCAATAGAACACAGTCAAACTAGAGTCTTGGAATTCAAGAGAGCTAATTTCAATAAACTTAGAGAGAGCTTGGGAAGGATTTCATGGATGAGAATCCTCAAGGGGAAAACAACTCAAGAAGCTTGGGAAATTTTGAAAAATGAGATAATAAAAGCCCAGTCTAGCACAATACCAACAAAGAGGAAAAATAACAGCTCTTAAAAGAAACCAGCATGGCTGCATAAAGAATTCTCTGACAAATTGAAAGATAAAACGGACAAGTATAGAAAGTGGAAAGAGGGGCACATAACTAAGTCAGAATATCAGCAAATAGCCCGAGCCTGCAAAGATGGAGTGAGGAAAGCCAAGGCTCAAAATGAAATAAGACTTGCGACCAAAGTCAAAAATAACAAAAAAAGCTTCTTTCAACATGTAAAAAACAAGAAAAAAGTGAAGAAATGATTGGTCCATTAGTGGGTGAAAGTGGCAAGAAGGTGACAAGCAACAGGGAAAAAGCAGAACTATTTAATTCATTTTTTGCATCTGTCTTTACACAAAGGGAAAAAACACATCAACCTATTAAAAATAGTGCCATAAAAAACAGAATAGAAACACAAGTTAAGATAGGGAAGAAAATGGAAAGTGAACACCTGTCCAGCCTAGACGAGTTCAAATCGCCAGGACCAGATGGATTACACCCTAAGGTTCTCAGGGAACTGGCAGATGTGATCTCAGAACCACTGAACTATATTTTTCAAGATCCTGGAGCACAGGGGAACTACCAGAGGACTGGAAAAGAACTGATGTAGTTCCCATTTTCAAAAAAGGAAAAAAAATGGACCCAGGAAATTACAGACCTATCAGCCTGACCTCAATTCCTGGGAAGATCCTGGAAAAGATAATCAAACAATGAATCAGCAAACAGCTAGAGGTAAACAAAGTCATTACTAAAAGCCAACATGCGTTTGTCAAAAATAGATCATGCCAGACAAATCTTATTGCATTCTTTGACCAAGTGAGAAAATTAGTGGATCAGAGGAATACTGTGGGCATAATTTACTTGGACTTCAGTAAGGCATTTGATAAAGTAGATCACAACCTACTACTTGACAAGATAGAAAAATGTGGGGTAGACAGCATCACCACCAGATGGATCCGTAGCTGGCTGACCGGCCGTACTCAGTGAGTGGTCCTCAATGGAACCGCATCTACAAGGGGAAAGTATGTAGTGGGGTGCCCCAGGGCTCTGTTCTGGGCCCAGTGCTCTTCAACATCTTCATCAACGATTTGGACGAGAGGATAGATGGGGAACTCATCAAATTTGCAGATGACACCAAGCTGGCAGGAATAGCCAACACTCCAGAAGACAGGCTTAAGATACAGACAGCTCTGGACAGACTTGAACACTAGGCATTATCTAACAAAATGAAATTCAATGGTGAAAAAAGCAAGGTTCTACATTTAGGCAAGAAAAACCAAATGCACAGGTATAGTATAGGGGGTACCTTGCTCAATAGTAGTAACTGTGAGAGGGACCTCGGAGTCCTAAATCACCTAAATATGAGCCAGCAGTGTGCTGCAGCTGCCAAAAATGCCAACACAGTGCTAGGCTGCATTAACAGAGGGACAGAATCAAGATCACGTGAAGTGTTAATACCACTTTACAATGCCTTGGTAAGGCCACACTTGGAGTATTGCATCCAGTTTTGGTCACCGCGATGTAAAAAAGATGTTAGACTCTAGAAAGAGTACAGAGAAGAGCAACAAAGATGATTAGGGGACTGGAGGCTAAAGCATATAAGGAACGGCTGCTGGAATTGGGTATGTCTAGTTTAATGAAGAGAAAGACGAGGGGGGACCTGATAGCAGTGTTCCAATTTCTCAGGGGCTGCCACAAAGAAGAGGGAGTCAAGCTATTTTCCAAAGCGCCTGAAAGCAGGACAAGAAGCAACGGGTGGAAACTAATCAAGGAGAGAAGCAACCTAGAACTAAGGAGAAACTTCCTGACAGTTAGAACAATTAACCAATGGAACAACCTGCCTCCAGAAGTGGTAAATGCTCCAACACTGGAAGTTTTTAAGAAGAGACTGGACAGCCATTTGTCCGAAATGGTATAGGGTTTCCTGCCTGAGCAGGGGGTTGGACTAGATGACCTCCAAGGTCCCTTCCAACATTATTATTATTATTATTATTATTATTATTATTATTATTATTATTATTATTATTATTATTATTATTATTATTATTATTATTATTATTATTATTATTATTATCATCATCATCATCATCATCATCATCATCAATATTATTTTAATAGGTTTGTTATGAGCCTTCTATTATCAATTTTTGTTCTTTTATTTGTTTTTTTTTTAAATGGTTGCATCTTATCTTATTTTCTTTACCTGGTGTTCAGGCTGATCTTCCACTTTTGGACTGAATATGATTCCTAATTTTGATACTCAATTCTGCTTAACTACCATGGCTGTACTGTAGGAAAACTGATTGGTCTGGTTCATAGATGTTGTTTTAAATCTTGCAAACACTTTATTCTCATCCTTCATTGTAGATGTCAGGTGTCTTTTGGACACTACTTTCTATGCTTGCAGTCTTTTTATTTCTATTGGTAATTTGTCATATGCCATGATTTTCTCCTAAAGCTAGTGTGCAATTTGGGGCTTCTTCTAGACTCAAAGGTCCTACTTGAGGACATCTGGCATCTGTGGCTGGGGAGGGGGGGTTGCACAGATTCATCTTATATGCAAAATGCACAACTATCTGGACTGGGAAATCTTGTTCATGGTCATTCATGCTTTGGTCACTTCCTAATTGGATTACTGCAATGTGCTCTATATAGGACTGCCCTTGAAGACTATCTGAAAGTTACAATTGGTCCAGAATCTTTTCAAGGTGAATGGATGGCAATGCAACTGTACTATCTTGTCTATTCTATTCTGATAGCATATCCTCCTATCATGTCTCCTGTATCCTGCTGCAAGTAAATAAGCACTTTAGCTATGTGCAAAATCTGCTCAAATGTTCTGGGTGAGATATATCCCTTAGTCCAGCAGTCCCCAACCTTTAGGGCTTGGTGGCCTGGCAGGGGGTAGAGAGGACCGGCCCACTGCTCATGCAATTTGAGCTATGCATGTATACTGGCCTGCCATTCATGCAAGTCAAGCTGTGTGTGTGTACTCCGGTCAATTGCTTATGAAAGTTGAGCTGTGGCATGCATGTGCCATCCTGCCATTCATGCAACTTGAGCTGCACGCACACATGTGTGCACCGGCCAGCCACTCACATGACCCGGTTTCAAACAGGCCACGGCATGATAGTGGGCCATGGCTGGGGGTTGGGAACCCCTACCTTAGTCAAAAATAATTGAAAATTACATAAAATAATGTTTAAAAGTATGCTTCTGCAGAGTTAAATATCTCAGCCCTTCTATAATCATAGTAATACATGCAAGTTGTACTTACTGACACATTTTGGTGGAGGTGACCATCCATTTTTTGTGCATTCAACTACCTTTTCTCCATTATCTGGTTTAAAAGTAAATCCACTTTCACACCGAATTCGAATTAGATCCCCATCATGGTATATAGTTCTTTGAGGTAGGAAAGAACCATTTGATATTCTTGGAGAATTGCATGTAATTTCTAGGGAAAATAAATAATATCTATTGAAAAAAGAAAAGCTTGCACTCATATCAGATTGTTAGCACATAAAAATACTATTATTATTTTTAAAATATACATAGCACCATGAGACCGTTTTAATCAGTATTCATGCCTACTAAATGGGCATTAAACAATATAATATTGCCAATTAGTATCTAAAATGTACTGTGAAATCAGCAAGTTGCTATAATTATTCATCTGCTTCACTTTGGTTTTGAATTGAAATATAAAACTACAATTTGATAAACCCGTTGTTGGTATTCAGTCACTCTGTCGATCCCAGTAGCTTTTTCAACTACCCTCAAGATTGCAAAAATTGGGGGGCTCCACATTGTAGTGATTCCGTTCCCGTTTGAGGTTATAGTTAATTGTGACAGGGAAAAGAGGTCAGGCCTTCAAATGCAGTAATGGAGCCTGCAGAGCTTGTTCCTTTTCCCATTCCTGTTCAAATTCTATTCAGAGTTAGGAGCGGTCATGTATCCATGATGACAATTTTGAGGCGGAGGATCAGCAACAACAATATAGATAGACTCAATTACTGTGGTGAATGATGCATTGCTGGAAGATTTGAAGGACAGATTGGGACAGATTTCCTAGAGAAAATCAATCTATGTGATTGCTGAGAGTTGATATCAACTTCTTAGCATGTAATTAAACAATTAATTAGCTCTTCCTGGAATTGCCCTGGGGATATCATCAAAACATTAGCTGGTCTAGAATTCAATATCCTGTATGGTCAGTGTATACTCTTAGTTCTGCTATGATACATCACTTCTGCAGGAGCTGCACTGGCTATCAATGTACCTCTGAGTGGAATCCAAGGTACTGGACACGACTTTTAAAGTTGGTTATAGCTCAAGTATGGGGCATCTGTGACACTGACTTTTCCAAATAGCCATGGTTTGTCTAACCTGTATGGCAAGACAACATTTTCTAAGAGTCCCCAGCTTTCAGGTTAGTCAGGGAGTGATATCAGAACTTCTCTTTGCAGCTCCCCTCTTTGGGAACAGGTGCCCTATGTAAAACATGTCAGTCACTGTCCTGGCTTTCTTGAAGATAGTAGTGAGTGTAGAACCACAGGGATTTTGTGTCTATATATGTACATTTTTATTATGATTTATTCTTAGTCATGATATTATTGAATTTTAATTTTTTATTGTTTTATTGCTATTTTAATCTGTAAACTGCCTAGAATCCACAAGGATCAATATGGTACAGAAATGGCAGGTATGCATAAACAAACATCTCCATGAAGTCCTTTTAATGCCTGTGGTGGAACTGCTGTTTCTGGGAAAGGCTGAACTGCCAGAATTCTGCAATGTCCCTCACTAGACATCCTCCGATCTGCTAGTACCAAAATTAGAAGCACAGCATTATTCTTTACCTGTAACTACAGAAGTTCCTATAGTTTTGTTAGTAACTGAGTTGGAATCTCTATTGGTATTGATACTTAGATTTTGGTAGGGTAATAGTTAAAAATTCTTTAAAAATAGAAACAATAGTAGCTCAGCTGTGGCGTTTATTGTCAGCCAGAGCAATTACTGTATCGTTCAATGATATAAAATTATTGCTATACAGATATACTCTACACTGATGAAAGAACAGTCTTTTGGGGGGGGGGGAATTCTGAAGAATGCAGTGTGTAGTTTGTGCACTAACCTAGCCATGAAATGGCTAGTGGGTGTGTCTTTCATTGTCTTTCATTCACTCTCTCTCCAGCAATCTGCAGCCTTTCAGGTTGTCCTATTTCAATTAAATTTCCAGAATTTCCATTGAACCTTTGACAAAAGAAAAGTGCAGCCCGACCAAAAACACTTCAAGAGGGATACAAATATTGGTACCAATAAAGCACATGAAGTGCTTTGGCTCTGGACTGGTGATAGCAGGATTATAAATTAAACATTTAAAGTCACCTTTGCATTTAGGAATCACGGGTGTTGTCCCATCACAATGGATTATAGAAGCTGATTGTGAAGAATCTACTGCCAGGACATAGCCTGTTCTACAGGTCAGCTCAATAGAATGACCACGTTGCACAAATGTATTTTCAGGCACATCTATTCCATCTTTAAGTTCTATCATCTGGCTTTCCAGTTCAGCCCTGGGGATCACACAGGGATCTGAGGTGGAAAAGAAAGCAAATATTGTTAGAGAAAGCTGTCAGGATACAAATAAATCATATTATCTTATTGCAAAATTCTAATAGTAGAATTTAGCTTTCATCTAGCTTTCATATCTTCAGATATAGATATGAAATTGTATACTGTATAAAAGAGAGCTGCTGCAAGCAAGAGAGAAAGAAAGCAGTGAATCTTAATAAGTAGAAATGCTCATGAAAATTAAATGAAGACTTTCTTTTCTGCTTACCGAGGCAAATGGGCACTTTTGTCCAGGTCCCATTATCACAGAAAGATCTGTTCTGGTCTTCCATGGCATAATCTTTTTGGCATCTGAATTCTACTGAAGAGCCAGATCTGTACCGCTTCTCAGATAAAGTAGTAATGTCTCCGTTCTCAATCCTGGGTGGACCACTGCAGTTTCTCCCTCTTTCTATTAAGTATGAAAGCATGAAGTAGATGAAAAAGTAAACAAACTAGCAATTTCTTCTCTAAGAATTAATATGTTAAATTGATCTAAATCAGGCATGTCAAACTCGCGACGTCATGTGACATCGTGCGATGTATCGTGACTTTTTCCCCATTGCCGGCAATGCGGTGGGTGCAGTTTCAAAATGACGCATCTGGCCCGCGGGCTGGCAGCTTGACATGCCTGATCTAAATTATCTAAATTTATTCTATATATGTTGATAATTTCAAATTACCTATAAAGATATTCCGTCCTTATAATAAAATCTATGACAAAAAGTATGCAATATGTCATTTATTCTTTGCAGAATGAAAATATCAAAAATTGATAAGTTATATATTTCTTGGATACACTCTTTGATATTTAAAGTGGTAGTAGTTTTCCAAATAGCATTGACATCTTTAACATGAAAACATTTACAAACTCTTGCATTTGCTATAATATTCTTCTAAAAGAAAACCAAAATTGGCCATGATCAAATCAAATCAATTAATGTGCCCTCACATTTCTTACATCAGCAACAAAAAAAATCTATATCAGCTACAGTCAGAAAGCTTCCTGAAATAGTATTTCAGAAGTTCCATTAAACTCAGAATAAAATCCTTTCATAAATTCATTTCAAGCTCAAGTCCAAGGGACATACTTAACAAATTTTAAAATCTTACATAAATTCTATTATCAAATATTCCGTCTTCATCCCATAAATCAGAAATATCAATTTTAACTTTAAAGATATTTTAAAATTTCAGATACAGATTCAAACTCAATTTGGTTGACAATAAAATAAATTGATTATATTGACACTGTTCAAAGAGACCCTCCCAGTCTCAAGGGCTGTAAAGCATACAAGGGAAGGAATGTACTTTAGGATTGCAAGATTCTGTTAATGTAACCCTGCAGAAAAGTAGAATTAGCTCATTTTATCATATATCCTCTATGATCCACCTTGCAAGGCTGCCAAATGATTACTTTTTAATAAAGACCATAAAGGATAATATTCAATTCAATTAATTATTACACATAGATTGATATGATTAAATAAATGCATAGTAATATCAATTTTGTATAATTGCTCATTCCATTGGAAAAAAATTAATTAATAATTCAGTATTTGTAATTTTCAGACCATCAGATGTAAATATTTTAAACTTTATATGTTGCTGTCTCATTTACTTTAAACAATATGCTAACAATTTACCTGTTAATTCACCAGGTACCCAATATTTTAATTTTAATCTCTTCAACTTGATCAGCATAAAAATCACCCATCAGTTATGTGAGCATAGCACAGTATACTTTCTATTTATAAGATGATTTAACCATCAAGTATCCTTCAAGTTAAATTCTCCTTTAATGACATGACATCAACATATTTTTATACAACCATTGCAATTGGTGATACAAATTCCTATGCCTACCAATAATATGCATATCTTCAACTACAAGGAAGTAAAATTCTTCACTGAAGCTCAAGGTTTTGGAATGAACCTTAGAGACAATTTGTATCTTTTGGAAAATGCCAGAACATCCTTCACCAATCTGAGGTGCTTCAGATTTTTTTTTGTTTTAGATTATAACTACTAAAATTCTAATCCAAAATATAAGTGATTACAGTGAAGATTAAATCACTTTTAAAAGAATGTGACTTTAGAAGCAAATGTTAATATTCATTATGCTGTATTAATTATTTTAATTAGCTGCAATCCCAAAGGAATCCATCATATTGACAGCACGCTTACCAGAGATACATAAAGGCAACTCCATGTAACCGTCAACACACATTCTGACTGACGGAGCCACAAGCACATATCCTTCATTGCACTGAAATTGCCGGCTATGATTACTTTGAATAAGCAGAGCTTTTCTTTGACTTCCAAACACAAACAAGTTTTTTGTTGCTAGCTGTTGTCTTGTAATACTGCAGGGTGCTAAAAGACAGAAAAAAAGTTAGATCTTCTCAACAGAGACAATTGTCAATTGGTCTCCCTCTATTCCATCCACAAGAAAATCAACCTGATTTGCAAATCACAGTGGATAGTTCCAGGCCAAAATAAATTAAGCCAAATTAGAACACAGCATTAGTGATACTCAAGTTACGATTCTGCTATAGATTTTAGACTTATCACAGAGGACTGCCTTGTAGGAGCATGCACAACCAGATGTAGTTGTGATTGTTTCAAGTTAAGTTAACAGCCCAACTCAGAGTCTTCTGCAAAGGTATTTTGAGTTAACTGAGTAACAGTGGAACAAAATTTGAGACAGCTGGAATGTTCCATATTCTGCTGAAATATAACACAAAACTTCTAAACATTTATAAGTATAGAAAATTGGCCCCTAGCTTCCTTGATTTTCTTGTTTTCTCTTTTTTGTTCATATTAATGAGTTTATTATTGTTAATAGCAGCGGCAATCCTATCAGAAAATGTCCTTCCATGCATTTAACGCTTCCAGCATTATAGATTTGACAGACAGTACTTTTAAAGCATTCCTTTAGCTATCCAGAAAATATTGTCCTGCTGAATTGTGATGTTATTCGGTTGCTAAGTGATTTAGATTTAGATTTAGATTTTATTAGATTTATACCCCGCCCTTCTCCTGGCGGACCCAGGGCGGCTTACAGCAAGCTAAAAACAGATAAAGACCTTACAAACACCATTTTAAAATACAATTAAAAGAAATATTAATTTTTGCCGTTTCATTTAAAATTTTGTGAACACCCAATATAAAATCAAATTAAAATCCAATCTAAAATACCCCTCAGGCCAGCCCCGCTAGCTGGAATAGCCATGTCTTGAGGGCACGGCGGAAGGAGGGGAGATCCTGGATGACCCGGATCTCTGGGGGTAGTTCGTTCCATAGGGAGGGGGCTCCAACAGAGAAGGCCCTCCCCCTGGGGGTCGCCAGCCGGCACTGTCTGGCTGACGGCACCCTGAGGAGACCCTCTCTGTGGGAGCGTACCGGCCGATGAGAGGCAATCTGTGGCAGAAGGCGGTCTCGGAGATAACCAGGTCCGATGCCATG